TCGGAGGATAAATCTCCTGTGCGAAATGCGTGGTGGAGTTGTACTAAGTCAGGGAGGGTGGCATGTTCCTTGCGGAGGGCCACCAAGAAGTCACAGGAGGGACGACTGGCTAACGTCCAATAAGAGGGAGAAACATCCAATGTGTGTGTGGACTGCTCCTCGTGTACCCGGGATAAGGCATCTGCCGCCTTGTTAGTGCTCCCTCGTTTGTATTCAATCCGAAAATGATAGCCCAAAAGCTTCCGAATGTAGACTTGCTGGTCCGGGGTATTGATGACCTATTGGAAGAGCTCCTTAATACTCTTGTGATATGTTCGCACGATAAAGAACCGGCCCAGAAGGTATTGGCGCCACTTCTGGACAGCGGCCGAGATGGCATGTAGCTCTTTGATATAGGTTGACGCAGCCCTTAGTTTGATGCCCAGTTTCTTGCTAAAATAAGAGATGGGGTGGTTGGCCTGCATAAGAACCGCGCCAATTCCCACATTCGATGCATCCGTCTCAATGACAAAATCCAAATCAAAGTTCGGCAAGCCTAACACCGGTGCTGCCACCATGGCCTGCTTGAGGATAGTGAAGGCCTCGGAGGCTGCCGGAGTCCAGTGAAAAGACTCTTTACATAATAAATCAGTGAGGGGGGCAGCCATAGTGGCATATCCGTGAATAAAACGTCTGTAATATCCGGTCAAGCCCAAAAAACCTCGTAGCTGTTTCACATTCTTCGGACAAGGCCAGGCGACCATGGCCTCAAGCTTTTGAGGGTCAGCTTGTACTCCCTGGGCAGATACTATGTGTCCTAAGTAATCAATGGTGTCTTGGCAGAAAGTGCACTTCGAGAGCTTGATGAAGAAGTGCTTGGAGTGTAAACAAAGCAACACCTGCTCTAGGTGAGAAACATGCTCCGCCACAGTGGCACTGTAGACGAGAATATCGTAAAAAAAAACGATCACGAACTTGTGCAGAAACGAGGCAAAAAGTTGATTCATGGTAGCTTGAAAGGTTGATGGCGCATTCGTCAAGCCGAAAGGCATGACCAAGAACTCAAAGTGACCATCATGAGTGCGAAACGCCGTTTTATACGTGTCCCTTGTGTGGACCTAAATCTGATGGTATCCCGCCCTCAAGTCCAGTTTGCTAAACACTGTGGCACCACCTAGTTCATCTAATAACTCATCGATGGTGGGTATGGGAAACTTGTCTTTAATAGTGACCGCGTTCAAGGCCCGGTAATCAACACAAAAATGATAAGAGCCATCTTTCTTTTTAACCAATAAAACCGGAGAGGAAAACGGGCTCTGACTGGGCTTGATGATGCCCTACTCCAACATCTCACGGATCAATTTCTCCATTTCCGTTTTCTAGAAATGTGGATAGCGGTAAGGGCGCACATTGACTGGTTTAGAGTTAGGCAGCAAGTGAATCCTGTGATCAATGGTCCGGTGGGGGGGGGGGGGTAAACCAGTGGGCTGCGCAAATAAAGCACTATAACGGTGGAGTAGCGATGAAATGGGCGTGGGCAGTGACTTAGGAAACTCCAAAACCGCAGGGTCCTTAACTGGTGACTCCCCGGGAATGGTCTCAGCTGCTAGCGGTTGCAGCTCAAACAGGCTGTGAACCTCATCGCCATGGACCAGGGCCTGAAACTGGTGCAGCGAGATCAAGCTAGGTAAACCGGTGATATCCCCACATAAGGTCACTTGTTTCCCCTCCTAACAAAATTCCATGGACAGGGCGGCATAATCATGGGCCACGCGGCCCAGCTTTTGAAGCCACTGGATGCCGAGAATGACATCCGGTCCTTCTATCTGTAAAACGTGAAGGTCCACAAGAAAAACAGTCCCCTGCATAGACAAAGACACCTGGTGACATGTGAATTGGCAAAGGAGAAAATCACCATTGCCAATGTAAACGCGGAACGTCGGCGTGGGCTGGATAGGTAGTCCTAACCGTTCGGCCAAGGCAGGTTTGATGAAGTTATGGGTACTCCCGCTATCAATTAAAACCTGAAAATAGTGGGGGCCAATCTCGCCACGCAGCCGAAGAGACCTAGGATTACCCTGGCCAGCCAGCGCATTCAAACTCGAAATGTCCCCGGTCACTACTTCCTCACACTCTACCTCAGGAGGTAAGTCTTCAGGGCCTTCTATCTCCCCATCATCCGTACCTAAGAGAAGGAAAAACTTGCTACGACAACGGTGATTCATGCTGTATTTCTGGTCACAATTATAACACAGGCCTTTTTCACGTTTTTCGTGCAATTCGGCCGGTGTGAGACGACGGATGGGCAGAGGGGGGGTCGATAGTAAAGGTGGTAATGTGGTCTATTTTTGTGGGATCTGGTTGGCAGGAGGGGGAATGTGCTGAGGTTGGGGATGGGATGATGGAACAGGGGCAATTAGATGTGACTGGTTAGGAGTTTTGTGGGAGGAAAACTGGTTTGGGTTCCATTTGGGCCATGACTGAGCACCCTGCCTAGCCTCGTCGGACCGAGCCTCATAAGCCCGCGCTAAGGCGAATGCTTCCATTAAAGACGATGGACGAGAAACTAATAGTTCATGGCGAATGTCCGGTTTTAAGCCGGTAATAAAAAAACTAATCAACAGAGGTTCAGATATTCCAGTAACCTTATTCATCAATTCCTCAAATGCAGACTGGAATTCAGTAACAGATGTTGTCTGAGAAAGTTTTGAGAGGTTACCTAGATGGTCTTCGTACAACGATGCGCCGAAACGTTGTTTCAGATGGACCAGAAACTCCTTCCAAGTCGTCAGCAAGTGATTAGCCTTCATCCATTGGTACCATGCAGCGGCGCGGCCTTCCATATGAAAGGATACGATTCGAAGCCGGAGATGATCCGGAGTGCCATGGAAATCAAAAAACTCCTCCGTCCGAAACACCTAACCCGTCGGGTCGGAGCCATCGAACCGGGGAACCTCCATTTTCATGGAACGTAATACAGGGGAAAGCTCATTACCTTCAATCGGTGTTCCTGCAAGAGGAGGCACGGGATGGGTCGGAGTCGAGAACCCGCCCTCATCCGCCGGAGATCCTTGGATTTACGATTGCAGATCTTCGAGGAGAGAATCCACCATAGCCATGTACTGTTGCAATGTCTTGTGGAGGGACACGGTCTGGCCCTCAAACTGGTTCTGCAATGCCTTCACCGCTGCAAGAACGTCGGAGTCTGCCATGAAATGAGCAATGAAAGCACCAATTGATACGACCAACCTGCAAATTCTCAGAGGTCAGTTGTATTTTCACACTCTTTGAGCGAGTGCTGGCTCCAAGGGAAAGAAAAGAGCTGAGAAGGAAAAAAATAGATTTAGGGGAGGAATCAGAAGAGAGTGAGACGGAGATGAAAAAGTTCTTCGTTATTCATTGTCCTCTCACAAGGTTTCCTATTCCACAACTTATACCTCTCCTCGGTGAACCCAATCGAGATGCGAGACTACCCGTAAAACAGAAAGCAAATTACAGCCATTGACAGTAAAGGGAAAAAAAAAACAAAAACAGAGAAATGAAAGTTCTGCCATCACTCCCGAGGACTAACGTCCTAGCTGCATCAAACGACACTCTCCCCTCCCCAAACGACATAGTCCTCTAACCACGCGGGAGGCCTTCTAGCTCGTGTTGGGCCTTTTGGGTTGCTGTTGTTCATCCTCTTAGGCTGGCCCTCTTCCTCTGCCACTGTTGTTTCAAGGCCCACGTCTGGAAGCTGCATGGGCATGGGTTGGGTCGTCTCAGCTTGTAATGTTTTTGCAAGGGAAAAAAAGAAAAAGAAAAAGAAAAACGGATTATTTCTCTTTGTAATGTTATAACCAGGGTTAGAGATTTGAGCCGAGGAATTTCCCCTTTTATTAACATGGATAGAAACTTCTCTTTTTTTTCCGTCAAAGTATTTAGATTTAAGTAGTGTTATGAACCAAGTTTTTGTTTACTTGGGATTTTAAATATGAAATAATAGACAAAAATATAAGGGCACTTTACTGGAACGCCATAAGTTTTACGCTTGTATTGACATATGTCAGGAGACATAAACTATTATAGAAGATGCTACAGTCAAAGATACTTAAAAATCATGAAATCCATAAAAATCATAAATATATTCATGAAAAACCACAAAATTCTCATAAAATCCAATGATACTGAATAAAATCTACAAAAATACAAGTATAATTTTACTTAATACAAAAAACTTAAATGATGTCTCTGTAATTTATTTTATAATAGTTTTAGTACCTATAGCAAAAGTCAATCTAATCTTAGAAACCATAACATATTATCTAAATATCTCAAAATATAAAGGTTGAAATAACATGTATAGTTAAAAGTAAAACGAGGTATTAGCCCACATTGCGGCCTATACTTTTGGGCACGGTGAGTTGAACACAATTTCAACATAATAGGCCGACACGTACCAAAAGCAAGATTAGTCGATTAATAAAATAACCAAATATATAAATAAGTTAGGGAAAATAAAAGGATAAAAAAGGAAATAACAAAAGAGTTCCATCAACAAGAAGTGTCGAGAGAAATAACCAAATTATATGTTGCAAGATTAATTTAGAGGCAACGCATCCTCAGAAAGCAAAAAGAAAAAAAAATGTAGTGAGTGGGAATCAAGTAACGTATATATTTATTCCGTTAGATGACAACAAAGATAATAATTAATAATGAGAAAAATCTTGTTCAATTTAGCCCAATTGGCGGCTAGCTCAATTTGTATTTAGCGGGTGTATAAGTCATTTTAAATTTATTGAGTTTTGAGTTCAAATCCTCCCACAATAGAATTCGGTAGAGTCATAACCAAGGCAAATTGGAGGGGAAAAAAGAAAAGAAAAGAAAAGAAAAGAATGACTTTTTCCTCCCAACACAATCCAACATTGTGCTGCGTCATATTAAAGAAAAAGTATATACTTGTCCTCAATGTTGTCCAACAAGTCATGAAAAAGCAGCTTGCATGTTTATTATGCCATTTTGATATTTGTTCGTGTTGATTAATGCCTTTGAACCTTTCCGCTATAACCACCAAAACCTCAATCCCCACATCATTCCCAATTCTCAAAACAATTCACTCAATTTCCTTGACAATCTCCTCAAAAATAGCCATTGAAGTCGTTTATGGCACGGCCGCAGAAGTCTTGAAAAGGGTGGCAACTGCTGCGGAGCAAGAGATTTGCTTGGCATGGGGCATGAGAGAGGACCTAAAGAAGCTTGAAAAGACCATGTCCACCCTCAAAGCAGTGCTCTTAGATGCCGAGAAGAAGCAAGAACAAAACGAAGCGCTACGAGTCTGGCTGAGGCGGCTTAAAGATGTCTTCCTTGACGCTCAGGACGTGTTGGGGGAATTCGAGTGCGAACTACTAAGAAGAGAAGTGGTGAAGACACATGGCAGCATTGGTCGAAAGGTCGCGACAGAGATATAAGCAATCTATTTTGCAATGGATTAAAATACAATAAGATCTTCATTTTTATTATGTGAAAAGGCCGCTTTTTAAATTTTCACCTAAGGCCTTAAATTTCTTTGAGCCGGCTCTGGTAGTAAGAAGATGTTTTTAAAGTTCAACGTATCTTTTTAATAGTATGTAAAACATGTCAGAGTAGCACGGAGATATCCTGTTCATTTCACCAATTCTAATTTAGAAATTGAGTTTTGTTACAGTTAAAAACTCTTAAAAACAGTTATATTTAACTTTTTTACTACAGTAAAAAACTCTCACATAAAGTCAAATCTCAACTCGAATTAAAAACTCGAATCAGCGAACTTGAATCAAGTGATGTGAAATCCATATTAAGCATCCCTATTTTCTTCAAATAGGAGCCAATCAGTGCTGAAACTTTGGACGGGCCGCCCGTGACCACCGAAAAGTCCAAATTTTTGCCCGATGACCGAACCCGATTTGCCCGAATTTTCAGGCTGCCTGACCCGACCCGAAAATTACAATGAACGGGCTTCGGGCAGAGGATGCCTGCCTGTGCCCGGTCGGGCTGCTTGATTTTTTTTTATATTATATTTTTATGTTGTTGAAATAAGTATTTGTATAATTACAATGTGTATATTACAATTTGAAATATGAAATGAACACTGAACACACGAACAAACTATATAAAAAAAATTACTTCTTCATTGATTTTTAAATTTGTAATTCATGATTGCCTCATTAAAAACCTTACCAAGAAAAACCCAATTGGGATAAAAACTTTGGTAAGGAAAAAAGAGTGCAATCATTGTGGGACGAATTACAAAAGACCATGTCCACCCTCAAAGCAGTGCTCTTAGATGCCGAGAAGAAGCAAGAACAAAACGAAGCGCTACGAGTCTGGCTGAGGCGGCTTAAAGATGTCTTCCTTGACGCTCAGGACGTGTTGGGGGAATTCGAGTGAGAACTACTAAGAAGAGAAGTGGTGAAGACACATGGCAGCATTGGTCGAAAGGTACGCCGATTCTTCTCGAGCTCCATGTTAGCCGAAATTGGATAATACAAAGAAGATCAAAATTATAGGGAAATGGAAAAACCGGAATTATACAATGCAAATAAATTCAACCTTCCTACCAAACTTGAAAACGGAATTGGAAAAATGTCGAGGCACGTGGAGCACGTTTTCCTTAAAACAGATTCTTCCCCTCCGGCGTGTGCTTGAGGTTACATTGGACGTCCGTCTTCCAGGATACAACGACAACGATGGTAGCTCGATGCACTTTCGGAACCGTCCGGCGAACTAGAACTTTATCTTTCCTCTATCACAAAAACAAAACTACAAGAACACAACGAACTGGAAAAGAAGAAGAAGAACTCGTGGGAGAAGAACAAAATATGTTTCTGTGCAAGTGTCCCTCTCCTTCATGTGAAGACGCCTTATATAGGCTCTGAAAAATAGGTTATGAAACCAGGAATTAAAGGCCCTTAATCTCCATTTTAATTGTGCATAAAACGTTTCCTGAACCCAGCCACAATACACATCCAGGTTCAAGGAAAAACTGATTTAATAACCAGCCTTTATCATCACAATTAATCTCAGAATTAAGCACCCCATTAAGCCTTCTTTAATCTCCATTAAGCACAGCATTTGCTAAGGCCAAACGGTTAGAAGCTGGAAGGGCTGAAGCAAAAATAAAAAATCGCAAAAGTAAGCTCGCATGGAGCGGGTTTTACGGTCCGGCATTTGTGTCCGCAGGTGCATACATTAGGCCCCAACCCTCCGGAATCGTGATTTGTCTCAAGCATTTGAAATGCACGATTTAATTCATGATCTTGCAACTTCAATCATTAAACGTGAGGTTTACACAGTAAATTCTGACACTAAAATGTCGTGTGATCAGTATGTGAGATATTTGACGATCTATTTAAGAGAAAGTCATGGTCAAAGCATCTCAACAATCTTGCATAAATTAAAAAAAGTGCGGAGTATTTTTCTTAGATATGAAACAGAGCAAGAGCTACCCAGCGTCGAAGAGTGCTTCCTTTCAACATGCATCTCGAAATTTAGATACTTGCGGCTGTTTGATATACGCTCTTTATCCTTTGAGGTGTTGCCAACTACAATCGGCACGCTCAAGCATTTGAGATATCTGAACTTAGGAGGAAATAAAAAGATAAAGAAACTCCCCAACTCCATTTGCAAATTGCAAAGTTTGCAAACTCTGATACTTATTGAATGTTCAGAGCTTGAGGAGTTACCTAAAGATATAAGAAATCTGATCAACCTCAGAACTCTGTTTGTAACGACAAAACAAACTTGCTTTCCGGAGAATGGAATTGGACGCTTGAAGTCTCTTCGATTTTTGGTTTTTTTACAATGTAGAAATTTGAGATCCTTACCACACGATATGAGATATTGTGCTTCGTTGTGAACAACTTGACTTGGCGATCGGACCCAATGAAGTTATCCAGATGAGTCTTCAATCATTGATCATTGCCGACTTACCACAAGTGACTGCTTTGCCCCATTGGCTACAAGGAGCTGCTCGCAGTTTGCAGCTTTTGGTTATTGGAGGTTGCCCCAAGTTGGTTGCGTTGCCAGAGTGGTTTCCAAGTCTCACCTCTCTTCGGAAGCTTTGGATTGGCGAGTGCCCAAAGTTGTCGTTTCTACCAGATGGGATGCAACGGCTGACGTCCCTAACAGATTTGAAGATTGTGCGTTGCGATGCATTGGAAGAAAGATGCAAACCTGAAATTGGTGAGGATTGGCCAATGATTGCTCATATTCCAAACCTTCATATTGGATGATTTGAGGATGACTAGGTACAGTTTACATATATCTTTAATTTTTACGGCTTCTAATTTGCTAAATCTCTGCCTTCATTTTCTAATTAAACCATCAATAATAGACTTAGATTATGATTTTGTTTTTCCTTTTTGTGTGTCTGAGAGAGAAAGGTTTGTATGTATATAATGTGTGATTGATAATAGGGAGAAAGAGAAAAATAGGCCAAGACTTAAGATGAATTAAAATTAATAGGCCAATAGTTTACATAAGTTAATAAATATGCCAAATTACTATTTTCGTCTATAATTTGTCTAGTTATAAATCATAACTTGACAAGTTATTGTCAATAATTGTCCATAACTTGTCTGGCTATGAACCATAACTTGATAAGTTTGTCCATAACTTGTTTGGCTATGAACCGTAACTTGACAAGTTATGACCTATTAATTTCTACAACTAAAAATTGGCCTATATACTTTCTTAAACTTTTCATATTGGCTTATTTTATACTATTTCCCTTGATAATACATATCTATCTGTGTGTATTATTTTTTTTTTTTGGATTTCTCTCGTATTGTGTTAATAGAATTTTATATTTTATAAGACAATATATGAATATGGTAGCTATATAAATGACATGGCAGAATAATCACATGCTTATTATTTATACCCACAATCCATCATTGCTGTTTTTTTTTTTTTGCCCTTAATTATCCCCCTATAAAATATATAGCATAAATGACATATTGAATTAATTTGATATTTATCGTTGCATAAGCTATTCTTTTCATATGTAAAATCAAAAATTACCTTCTGTTTTCAAAACTGACCCTTTTCATATGTTATAACTTTTGATGAGCTCCTTTAAAAGGGACAATTTTGATAAGGGAGGTCAATATTGAATGCTCGAAAGGTTGTAATTATTAAGGGGCAGATCTAAAACTTATCCCAGAGGGAAAAAAAATGCAAACACATATACATACAAATATACATGCATACACATACGTACATATGTATATAATCCGGTAAGCATATCATACAACACCATTTGTGAGGGGTACTAAAGGGATCGTGAGTGTCGAGACAAAAGCTTAATCTTATGATTTCTATCAAGAAGCTAATTATATCAAACGCGAGACTAATTTACTTGAAAGTGGCACTCTCTGTATTTTCTTTTTTTTAAAAAAAAAAAAAAATTGGATCATATGTATTTTTAACGTGTTAATGTACGACTATCCGTGTTACTTCAAAATTTAGAAGGAAAAATAATTGTTTGTAATGAATTACAGTACTCTATGCTTGTGTGTATCTATGAACATATTCTTACATTTGATGGAGTTATTAAAGTGAAGTAATAAAACAGATGTACGCTTTTCAATATGGAACGGATATGCAGATAAATGGATAATTTCTCGTTTATTAATTATATCAAAATTAAGTATGCTTAAGACCCCGTCCCCATTTGGGGTCGGAAACTCAACAGATGCAGATGTGCTGATAAGTTTTCAACTTTATTAATGTGGAGTTTACTATTGACTATTTTTGGAAGTAGTTTTTGTGTAGATGAGGATTTTCATTTTAAACTATTGGTAGGAAATGTTATTCAACTATATGTGAATTAAGATTTCGATTGTCTAATCTGTGAGTGTCTACATTAAAAATTATTACAATTGCAGATCATGCCATTGAGGAGTTAATGGCATTGAACACTTGATTTAATCGTTTACTCTTTTTGCTCCGCTAAACCATTTTAGAGTGTTGGATGACATGACTTTTTTTTGTTGGGTGGAAAAGGTCCGAGACATGATTTTTCATATAGGTGATCCAAGTCCCTTCGCAAAAGAGGTACTGTTGACGGTGAAAATTCGCCAACAAAAGATTCATGAATTATGTGATGAATTAATGCGGACTGAAACAAAATAAATGCGAACTAAAGCAAAAGAAAAACAATAACGCACGAGAATTCTCTTAATTTGAGAGCTACGTCGACCGTAGGGAGGAGAAAAAAATTCACTAATATGGGAAGAAAATACATGAGAATGCTCTGATGAGAGAAACTTCAGGGTTTTTCTGATACATATCCCCTATTTATAATTTTCTGTGTAGTTGTTCACCTCTAATTGACGGATTAAAGTTCAAGTTGCAATATTTTACTATTGATTAGATTATTGTTTTTGTACATGCTATACAATATAAGCACTTTGCGTAAAGTCTTATA